TCCTTCAGGGGGAACAGGTTCGATCCCTGATCCCTGGTCAGGGGAACTAAGATTTTGCATGCCGCGTGGCACGGCCAGAAAAAAATAGGGAACAACTATGATCAGCAATTTTTTTCTTTACTGTTGTTAACAATCCTTAGGAAACTACATATTGATTTAGGGGCACAAATTGTGTTGATGCCGTTTACTCACAGCTATGATTAACTACTGTACATAGTTTCATTCATTTGTATGTAAATAATTTTAATAACTTACTTTGTATTGATTTTGAACAGTGAATCTTATTGCAATAAAATATTTTAGTAAAATATGGTTTTATTGAGTTAATACTTTACAGCTGTTAATTTATTTGTCCCATAGCATTTTTGCTGTTATTTTTGGAGATTACGCTAGTTTTCAAGTTTCATTTTAACTGGTAATTGTTGCTTTCTTTGAACTTATTTGTTTAGAAAAAATAAATAGCATTTCCTTCTGAAAAGAAATAATTCATTGTTCTAGTAACTCTATAGTTCTTTATATGGGTAATTAGAGCAGAAATAAATGAATCATGATCGTCATTATATTAGATATATTTTCAGTAGCATAAGAATATTTTCGGTAGCATCATTTTATGTTGTTTTATGTTTCTCTAACATATAACATATAGCTAAATAGTAGAAGGTAGAAAATGAATTGTGAAGTCTCTTCTAAGGCCAGGTTAGGCCTGAAGCCAACCACTAGGGAATCTATGCCTAGAATATTTTTTTAAAAAAACAAAACAAAAAAAAACCAGAAAAAACAGATGTAAAAGTGGAGAGGAGAGCAAATGCTTCTTTTCAAAATTTGACAGAATATAATGATGTTATTTCTAATAGGGTGGTGGAAAAACTGTATTTTGGAAAATTAGTAAATGTGTGTGTAATAGGGCATGCATCTCTTCCAGCAATATTAACCCAGGATTTCATCCAAGGAAATTTTGAGAATGAACAGGTGCAAGCTTGTTAAGGATAGAAAGCTGATCATCTGAAAATTATCACCTGGAATCATCTACCTCTGTAGAGTTGTAGCAGTTGTAGAGATGACAAGGTAAAAACCACATGTATTTGAAGCTAATTGGACTTAGACATTATAAATTTGTCTTCTAATTATACAGTAGGAGCCCTTTTATCTGGGACCCTCAGTTGTTTGGTTAATCCAAAAAGTCATCTAAAGCAGGGTATCATTTAAAAAATAACACATGTATTCTTAGATATTTTAACTTAAAATATAAATAATCTTTATTTGCCGGTTATTGAATGTAGGACCCATGTCTTTTCTACCTTTTCAGTGTAGGTCTGCTTCTAAGGGTTCTCTAATTGTCTTTCTTATACAGATCACATGTATTACATTATATAGTTGTAAACCAAGGGTACAGAATTCTTGTAGATTTTTACTATATTTCCCTTCAGTCTTTTACAACTTTTTTTTTTTTTTTTTTTTGGCTGCGTTGGGTCTTCGTCGCCGTGCGCGGGCTTTCTCTAGTTGTGGCGAGCGGGGGCTACTCTTCGTTGCAGGGCGCGGGCTTCTCATTGCAGTGGCTTCTCTTGTTGCAGAGCACGGGCTTTAGGCGCGTGGGCTTCAGTAGTTGTGACTCGCGGGCCCTAGAGCGCAGGCTCAGTAGTTGTGGCGCATGGGCTTAGTTGCTCCATGGCATGTGGGATCTTCCCAGACCAGGAATCAAACCTGTGTTCCCTGCATTGGCAGGTGGATTCTTAACAACTGTGCCACCAGGGAAGTCCTTTTACAACTGTTTTACCCACAATTAATTAACCAGTACATTTAAATTGAGGGGAAAAAAAGGCAACATACGTTTATCTCGTTTTTCCAAAGTATTCAACTTGGTTTTCACAGAAACTATAACTGTTCACACTCATTTCATCCGCTTATGCAACATGATAAAAAGTTCTACTGGCATAATCAGTTTGGTAACTATATTAGTTTCCGAGAACCGTCATAACAAATTACCACTGACTGTGTGGCTTAAACATTAGAAATTTATTCTCTCACCATTCTGGTCTTAGAAATCTAAAATTAAGGTGTCAGTAGGGCCATGCTCCCTCTGAAGACTCTAAGGAAGAATCCCTCCAGTCCTTCCTTGACTCTTCCAGCTTCTGGTGGCCCCAAGAATTCCTTGGCTTTGTAGCAGCATAGTCTCTGCTTCTGTCTCCATATGGTCATCTTTTACATGCTTGTGACCCCCGCATCCAGTATGATCTTACCTCAATATTTACTTTAATTGCATCTGCAGAGACACTACTTCCAAGATCATATTCTGAGCTTTTGGGTAGATGTGAATTATTGGGGAACACTATTCAACCCATAACAGTAACGAACTCAACTAACCCTTGGTAAATATATATTGCAGCAAGTGAAAATCAAGGTGAAGCATGTGCCAGACGGAAGCCAACTAACTGAAAGCCTGCAGCTTGCCTGGGCGTCAATCAGTATGCTTTTCCAAGAAAATGGAGAGCATCCGTTAATCTAGTGAGTTGGTTAAATGGAAATTACTTAAAACAGCTTCTACTTTCTCCTTCAAACTTGTATAAATGTGTTTGTTACTGTGTATATATAAAAATCTGATATGAACAATTATTTATTTTTTTGCAAGTTAGGAAGGTTTTTATCTAACCAGGTCTTTTACTTACAAAATTGAAATGAACAGAAGGCAAAACATCTGTCTTGTTTTCTGTTGTCCTAATTCATATTTATTTGATTAGCCTGACCTTTTAAAGTAATTGTGTTGCTTCAATGTGGCACTCATAAGAAAATGAGATAGTCTTATTAAAGTGATATCCATATTTTAAATGATATCAATGTCTAAATCATTCAGTCTAATCTAGCTTTGCTTGCCTTCAATATTTCTCATCATTAAAGAAAAATCCAAAGTTACTGAAATTCAAAACAAGTCAATTTTTGCCTATTTAGTAACTCTGGGAAACGGCACAATTGCTTGGGGGGATAAGAACTATTGGCTTAAAATAGGTAATAAGAGCTCTAGTTTTTAATTATACTTAATATAATTCTTGCCCTCCATACCAATGATAATGCTAAGAATTTGATGGAATATTTTAAAATGCTTGTTATGAGTCCCATTTATAGTATATTTCACATATAAGCAAGATATACCTTAAATAAATTTGGTGTCTCATTCTGTTTCATATATAATGTCTGGTTATGAGAAAAGCATTTTATCAGCACCTCTGAATGCTGAGCTGTATTTTATCATTTAGCTCCCTCACAGCTAGCCATTAACTAAACCCTACACCTAACTATAATTTGCTTAAATAGTTCCATTTTCCTTCTATATTCTCTTATTTGTAAAGGTCAAGATGGACAGGGTAGGAATTTAAATGATTGACAGGTTTTTAGTCTCAAAAATACTTTCTTCAGGGCTTCCCTGGTGGCGCAGTGGTTGAGAGTCCGCCTGCCGATGCAGGGGACACGGGTTCGTGCCCCGATCCGGGAAGATCCCACATGCCTCGAAGCAGCTGGGCCCGTGAGCCATGGCCACTGGGCCTGCGCGTCCGCAGCCTGTGCTCCGCGACGGGAGAGGCCACAACAGTGAGAGGCCCGCGTACCACAAAAAAAAAAAACTTTCTTCAAACAAACAGATGACCTCACTTTTATGTTAAGATTCTTCTAACCCTATTTGGGTTTGTTTGAGGGCTTTCTTCCTTTTTTTGTTTTTCCTTAGTCTAGTGTTTGGGATCTTGTAAATCTGTCTTTGTTGGACCTCTAATAAAATGTTACTTGGGATTTAGAACTCTTAAAGTACGTATTCATGTAAATACTTTGGCATGGTTTCAAAATTTTGATAGTTGTAGAAACTTCAGCAATGAATAATTTTTTTTAAGATTTTCAACTTCAAGATGATTTTAGAAAATAAATATGATTAGTATTTTATTTCCCTGTCTACTTGAAGCATTTATAGGGAACAATGAGATGTCCACATTTGATTGATATGACAAAATGAAGCCTGTAGCACTTCAAATAAAGATCTAGCCATGTGGAACATCTTTTGTTAAGGGGAGTGGGTTCTTTAATCAGTGTTTCTTTAAATTTACATCAATATCAGAATTATTTTAGCTTCATTCTTAGGGAAGATCTGAATAGACTTCCTAATTTTCAGCTAGGTGTTCAACTTCAATTTGCTTAAAAGCATATACAGGAAGTAAATTTATTAATTTAAATTGGACCTCAAATTAGCCCACCTACAAAAATAGGCCCATACCTCCAATCCCACACACTCACCTCCCCCTGCCAAAGAAAAACGTGGAAGAATGCATACTAAAATATTAGTAGTGGTGATCTTAACAGTGATTTTGCCTTTAAGCATTTCTGTATAATTTTAAATATCTATAGTGAACATATCAGTTTTATTACCAAGAGGGAAAAAAAGACAAAATTTTTTTTATAAAAAGAAAATTACTGTAAGCATTGGAAATAAATATTAAGCCAAATTTATTATATACCTATGAACCTCTATTAGTCAGCTAGGGTTGCCATAATAAATATCACATATAGGATGGCTTAAACAACAGTAATTTATTTTCTCACAGTTCTGAAGGCTGAAAGCCCAAGGTGTCAGCAGGTTTGGTTTCTCTTGAGGCCTCTGTCCTTGGCTTGCAGATGGCCACCTTCTCACTGCATCCTTACATGGTCTTTCCTCCATATGCTTGCATCCGTGCTCTTCCTCTTCTTATAAGGACTCCAGTCATATTGGATTAAGGTCCCACTCTTATGACTTCATTTAACCTTAGTTACTTCTTTAAAATCTCCAAATACAATCACATTGGGGCTTAGGGCTTCAACATGTGAATTTGGCAGAAGACACAACTCAGTCCTTAACACCACCAACTCCTCACTACTCTGAAACAAAATCCCCACCTCTGAATCACACGTGGAAATAAATTCGGTGTGAAGGGACGTCAATAGCAAAGTGCACTGGAGAGTTAAACCAGTTATGTGAGTAATTTAGGAAATTCTGGGCCAATTTTACATTTGCTTTCTCTGTGTGCTACAATTATAGAAACCTGATACATTCTAGTCTTAGATATAACTGCATCAGGAAGCACTCTACTGCAAATCAGGTCACATTAGTTAGTGCTAGAGCCCAGCCCCACTTACAGGGCATCTGATGAACAGTTAGCTGAGGCAGTTCTACCATGATGCCATTTTGCTCCAAAGGAGTCCATTGAAGTGGCTGTCCATGTCCCAGTAGTTCAACCTGAAATTAAAAACATACACACAAATGTCTCCAAGTGTATCTCTGACTCCCTCACTTTATTGGGAAGGAGTGGTTGATATCTCTTAAAAAGCAATGTGGACAGAAGTTTCATTTTTTACTTTTATTTAGTGGATTACAAGCTGTTTTAAAATGAGTGTATACATCTGTCTTGCTCCCATTTTCCTCTCAAAAGTGTGCAGGATTTGGGGAAGAATTGTAAAGATTGAATAGTGTCAGAGTAGAGAAAATTATTCTCAAACCAATCTGCACGACTAAGACCTGCCCAGTTCTCACACAGAATGTTTGAAGAAAGGCTCAGCTTCCTTATCCAGCCACCATTCCCCACCAGATGTTCCAATAACCTCCACTAATCAGCAATACCTAAGTGTGATCAATTATTACTGTAACTGTTCTATATTCTTCATCTTATACAAGGTGAATTTCAATAAGTAGTTTTCTATATATCTGTGGTTATTTTGAACCAGAAAACTTTGCTTATCATGTAGAGTAATATAAAAACAAAACCTGTGAACTTTCAAATAACAGTATTAATGGCAGCCAAAAAGAACATAAATAAAATAAAAAGATAATGTCATGCCCAGGACACTAAGCTGTAATTAAACATCAGATCTGAACACATCTCCTTTTCTGCCTGATTGGCCATAAGTGTTAGAAATGAAATATGGAAAAATGATGCAAGGAGAAGCATTTGGACAATTCATATCCCAGAAAATTTTCAGTTTCTTAAAAATAGTCTATAAAGTATATCAAAGTGAACTCGATGCCAGAGCTGATGGTTACAACTGTGAGATTAACCTTTAATTTTCCCCCAGTTTTTTGTGAACTTGAAATGGTAGGGCCATGACATCTCATAGTTATTCAGATGTGTTCTGGGGTGGGATGTCAGGGGAAGAATCTGGACTTCAGTTTTACGAAAAGATTCATTTTGGATGCATGCAATGAGCCTGAACAACATAGAATGACTGTGAAGAAGACATTTTAATTGATATGCATGGAGATAATATAGCCGTTTTATAGGTTTGGTTTTCTGGGAAATGAAAGAAAACTTTCAAAGGTTTTTGCCAAACATTGCCATTGATGAAGTCCATTTTTAAATTACTCTTATGAGGTATAAGAGGAACACATATAAGGCTCACCCTGAAGTTAAAAGTTATGTCTTCATCAGGTTATTCTAGTCAGCAAGTTAAAGGAACAATAAAGACAAAATTCCCTCTTACCTCTGTTGCCCCCAGAGTAGCTTTGGGCTGACCAAGAAACAGCTGTCCTGATGTGGGCCATTTGAGAAACATGGCATAGACCAATTTGTTTTTAGGTTTGGACGTGTACCTGGTTAAAAGGGAATAAAAGCATAGTAATATTTCTCATTACTTATGGGTCAGGTCTACAATTGTTTTACAGAGATACTTCCATTCAGTAAATATTTACCAATGTTTTTATTAATAGAGTGAAGGAAAACTAGCCCGATGGTAGCATTAAAAGCACGCAGAAGGATTCTGATCCCAATTCCCGTGTATGTGTGTGGAGTGGGGGAGAAGTTCCCCACACCATCAAGCAATTCTCGGACACTAACTGGGTGTCCTACAATTCAACTCAATTCTGACACCATCTACCCAGAGATAGTGTCAGATTCTACAGGTTAAGGGTTTAGTCCCACAAGACTGTCCCCTCCCCAAATTCAGACACCAGTCACAAGTCCAGATTGTCACCTGGGCTTCTGACCCACAGGCTATAGATTGGAGCTTCCCACGACCCCCTCCTTGAGTTCAACTAATTTTCTAGAGCAGCTCACAGAATTCACAGAAACATTTTACTTCCTGTATTACAGGTCTATTATAAAAGGATATATCTCAGGAACAGCCAGATGGAAGAGATGCCCAGGGCAAGGTATGTGGGAAGGGGCAGGGAGCTTCCATACCCTCTCCAGGTGCTCCACCCTCCCTATACCTCCACCAATCCAGAAGTTCTCTAAACCTCATCCTTGGGGTTTTTATGGAGGCTTCATTAGTCTTTATTGATTAAATCAATGACCACTGATGATTGGTTCAACCTCCACCCTCTCACCCCTCCCTGGAGGCCATGGGTGGGACTGAAAGTTCAGACCCTCTAATAACATGGTCGGGTCTCGTGGCAACCAGCCCTCATCCTTTGGTAGTGTCCAAAATCACCTCACTGACATAACAAAAGACACTTTTATGGCTCTCATCGCTTAGGAAATTCCAAGAGTTTTAGGAGCTCTGTGCCAGAAACAGAAAAAGACCAAATATATATTTCTTATTATAAATCACAATTGTCACAGCACCTCTCTTCCCCACTTCCCCAGTGCTAAAAGGAAGTTCTTGGAACAGAGATTTTTCTAGTACTACTCTTCTTCATCAGACTTTTCTCATGGAGCTGGAAACATGTGGGGAAATGTGACCAAAGAGCATAATGATGATCAAATCTTCATATTCCTTCATTCAACAGGTATGTATCTGTCAGTGCTGGGCCCAGTACCATACTTGGTGTTAAGGATACAATAGAAAACAAAACACACTTAGTTCTTGTTCTTGTAAAGCTTAGACTAGAGGGAGAGAGACATCAAATAATCACACAAATAATATAGAAGTGTGAATTTTTATAAGCACTATGAAAGAAGAGGAGGTTGAAAGATTATAACAAAGGCATCTTTTTAGGTTATACCATTAGCAAGAAAATGACATTTAATCTGAGACTTAAAGGATAATGTGAGCAAAAGGGAAAAGGTAAGAAGAGTAAGATCTATACAAAGAAAACAGAATTCATTCATTTTTTCACTCAGTTATTTGACAAATATTTATTAACATCTTAAAATGTTAATCACTGTTTCAGAGCTGGAGACATAGCATTGAACACAGTCCCTGTCCTCGTGGAGCTTACATGTAGTGGAGAAAATTAGAATGAGCAAAAAAATATATGTCAGATGATGATTAAATGTTATGGAGAAAACTGAAGCCCAGTAAGAAGAATAGAGCATGCCTGTTTAAAAATTAATAAACAGGAAGCTCAATTAAAATAGAGTCAGGAGACCAGAGAGGGGAGCTCCCATGCCCTGCAACAATAGCAGAGCCCACAGGAAGTAGGAAGGCTCCTCTTATTTCCTGGCAACAACTCAGCCAATGAAAAGCCATGGACTCTTCATTTACTATAGCTTTCCCAACTTCCTTTTCCCCCCAGTAAAAGAGTTCTCCTTCCCTTGCTGTGCAGGGACTTGTATGTGGCTTGCCATGTTTGCAGACCCCAAATTACAGTTCTTTGCTGATCCCAAATAAACCCACTTTTGCTGGAGAAATAACTGGCAGTCTATTTTAGGTCTACACTAGGTTGGCAAAAAAAGATCTAGGTGTTCTTTTAAATAAACTAGTCAAAAAAGAAAACTACAGACCAATATCACTGGTGAACATAGATGCAAAAATCCTCAACAAAATACTAGCAAACAGAATCCAACAGCACATTAAAAGGATCATACACCATGATCAAGTGGGGTTTATCCCAGGAATGCAAGGATTCTTCAATATATGCAAATCAATCAATGTGATACACCATATTAACAAATTGAAGGAGAAAAACCATATGATCATCTCAGTAGATGCAGAGAAAGCTTTGGGAAAAATTCAACACCCATTTATGATAAAAACCCTCTAGAAAGTACACATAGAAGGAACTTACCTCAACATAATAAAGACCATATATGACAAACCCACAGCCAACATCGTCCTCAGTGGTGAAAACTGAAACCATTTCCACTAAGATCAGAAACAAGGCAAGGTTGCCCACTCTCACCACTATTATTCAACATAGTTTTGGAAGTTTTAGCCACAGCAATCAGAGAAGAGAAAGAAAGAAAAGGAATCCAAATCGGAAAAGAAGAAGTAAAGCTGTCACTGTTTGCAGATGACATGATACTATACATAGAGAATCCTGAAGATGCTACCAGAAAACTACTAGAGCTAATCAATGAATTTGGTAAAGTAGCAGGATACAAAATTAATACACAGAAATCTCTTGCATTCCTATACACTAATGATGAAAAATCTGAAAGTGAAATTAAGAAAACACTCCCATTTACCATTGTAACAAAAAGAATAAAACACCTAGGAATAAACCTACCTAAGGAGACAAAAGACCTGTATGCAGAAAATTATAAGACACTGATGAAAGAAATTAAAGATGATACAAATAGATGGAGAGATATACCATGTTCTTGGATTGGAAGAATCAACATTGTGAAAATGAATATACTACCCAAAGCAATCTACAGATTCAATGCAATCCCTATCAAACTACCACTGGCATTTTTCATAGAACTAGAATGAAAAATTTCACAATTTGTATGGAAACACAAAAGACCCCGAATAGCCAAAGCAATCTTGAGAAAGAAAAACGGAGCTGGAGGAATCAGGATCCCAGACTTCAGACTATACTACAAAGCTACAGTAATCAAGACAGTATGGTACTGGCACAAAAACAGAAATATAGATCAATGGAACAGGATTGAAAGCCCAGAGATAAACCCATGCACATATGATCACCTTATCTTTGATAAAGGAGGCAAGAATATAAAATGGAGAAAAGACAGCCTCTTCAGTAAGTGGTGCTGGGAAAACTGGACAGCTACATGTAAAAGAATGAAATTAGAACACTCCCTAACACCATACACAAAAATAAAGTCAAAATGGATTAAAAACCTAAATGTAAGGCCAGACACTATCAAACTCTTAGAGGAAAACATAGGCAGAACACTCTATGACATAAATCACAGCAAGATCCTTCTTGACCCACCTCCCAGAGAAATGGAAATAAAAACAAAAATAAACAAATGGGACCTAAAACTTCAAAGCTTTTGCACAGCAAAGGAAACCATAAACAAGACGAAAAGACTACCCTCAGAATGGGAGAAGATATTTGCAAATGAAGCAACTGACAAAGGATTAATCTCCAAAATTTACAAGCAGCTCATGCAGCTCAATATCATAAAAACAAACAACCCAATCCAAAAATGGGCAGAAGACCTAAACAGACATTTCTGCTAAGAAGATATACAGATTGCCAACAAACACATGAAAGAATGCTCAACATCATTAATCATTAGAGAAATGCAAATCAAAACTACAATACGATATCATCTCACACCAGTCAGAATGGCCATCATCAAAAATTCTACAAACAATAAATGCTAGAGAGGGTGTGGAGAAAAGGGAACCCTCATACACTGTTGGTGGGAATGTAAATGGATACAGCCACTATGGAGAACAGCATGGAGGTTCCTTAAAAAACTACAAATAGAACTACCATATGACCCAGCAATCCCACTACTGGGCATATACCCTGAGAAAACCATAATTCAAAAAGAGTCATGTACCACAATGTTCATTGCAGCTCTATTTACAATAGCCAGGACATGGAAGCAACCTAAGTGTCCATCGACAGATGAATGATAAAGAAGATGTGGCATATATATACAATGGAATATTAATCAGCCATAGAAAGAAATGAAATTGAGTTATTTGTAGTGAGGTGGACGGAACTAGAGACTGTCATACAGAGTGAAGTAAGTCAGAAAGAGAAAAAAAAATACCATATGCTAACACACATATATGGAATCTAAAAAAAAAAAAGGTCATGGAGAACATAGGGACAAGACGGGAATAAAGACGCAGATCTACTAGAGAATGGATTTGAGGACACGGGGAGGGGGAAGGGTCAGCTGTGAAAAAGTGAGAGAGTGGCATGGACATATATACACTACCAAATGTAAAATCCATAGCTAGTGGGAAGCAGCCGCATAGCACAGGGAGATCAGCTCGGTGCTTTGTGACCACCTAGACGGGTGGGATAGGGAGGGTGGGAAGGAGGGAGACGCAAGAGGGAAGAGATATGGGGATATATGTATATTTATAACTGATTCACTTTGTTATAAAGCAGAAACTAACACTCCATTGTAAAGCAATTATACTCCAATAAAAATGTTGAAAAAGAAAAAAAAGATCAGGGAATTCTTTGGGTCCTCTGTGTTTATACTAACCTCAAATTATATATCTGTACATTCTGTCACATTAATTTAAATCTTCACTAAACTTACTTTGTTAAAAGGAATAGACAACTTGTTCTCAAGGTAAATCAGTGATGAAGAAAACAGAAAAAATCATAGACCTTCTGATTCTCTAGACTGATTCCTTAGTGATTTGGAGACAAACTTCAAATTTTAAAAAATTATTTTGAGCCATGTTAGAAACCATAATCACTCTCACATTTGGTAATCTGAAGCAGTTTTAATTTCTTAAACCAATGGCATTGCTGGAAATTACCTGACCCCTCAATTTTAAAATGTGTTCATTTATTCAAAGATTATCTATTTGTGACTACAATATACCTGAAACTCTCTTAAGTTCTGGGTGTACAGCAATAAAGAAGAAAGTCTACATGCAAAAAAATAAAAATAAATAGGATAGTCAAGGAAGACCTCTTTGAGGAGGTGGTGTTAAGTAGACCTGAAGGATGTGAGGGAGAACCACGTGAACAGAGGAAGAGAGAACAGCAAGCACAGATGTCCCAATGCAGCAGTATGCTTGGCCTGTTGATAGAACAGCAAGGAGGGCAGAGTGACTGAAGGAGAGGAAGTGAAGGATAGCATGATAGCCAGTGAGATCACAGACAACAAGGTGCTCGTTTTTATAGGACCTTATAAGCCTTTGTAAGTCTTGAATTTTTCTCTAAGACTGGAAGCCGCTGGAAAAATTTGAGCATGGGAGCGTCATAACCTGACTTATTATTTTAAAGGTTTTGTAGCAGATAGATTAAAGGAGCACAGATGGAAATAGATCAGACAAGAAGCTACTGAAATAATCCAGGGGGGAAACGATGGAGACTAACAGGAAGAGGGTTGCCACAGAGAGGATAAGAAGTGGTCAGATTCCAGATATATTTCAAAGATATGATGAATTTACTGATGGATTGGCTGTGGGATGTAAAAGAATGGGAAGTTAAGGACTCCAAGGTTTTGGGCCTGACAAGCACCTAAAAGCATGAAGCTGCCATTAACTGAGATGGGGGAGACTGTGAGTGGAACTAATTTAGAGCAAAATTTTAAGGACCTAAGTGTTGGACACAACAGGTTTAAGATGCTTTATTTTTAAGTGGAGACCGCTGACTAGGAAGTTGAATATATGAGTCTGGAGTTTAAGAAAGATGACTGCACTGCAGAGGTCATCAGTATGGCATTTAAAGCCCTGAAAATAGATGAGATCACCTGGGGAATTAAGATAAAGAATAGAAGTCCAAGGGCCGAGCCTCAGGGCACTTCAAGGTTTAGTGGTCGGGGACTTGAGGTGGAACCAGCAAAGGAGACTAAGAAGGAATGGCCAACAGGCACAGTGAAGACAGAGACAGCCATCACCTGGGGCAAATGCTGACAGTAAGCTCAGATGATAGGGACCGCGCGACTGACCCAGTGAGGGAGAGGTTCCTGTGGACCTGGATAACAGTGATTTTATAGAGTGTGGGGTGGAAGTCTGACCAGAGTGAGTTTAAGAGGAAAACTGGAGGGCTTCCCTGGTGGTGCAGTGGTTGGGAGTCCGCCTGCCAATGCAGGGGACAAGGGTTCAAGCCCTGGTCCGGGAAGATCCCACGTGCAGTGGAGCAACTAAGTCTGTGCACCACAACTACTGAGCCTGCACTCTAGAGCCTGTGTGCCACAACTACTGAAGCCCACGCGCCTAGAGCCCGTGCTCCGCAACAGGAGAAGCACCACAATGAGAAGCCTGCGCACTGCAGTGAAGAGTAGCCCCCACTCGCCGCAACTAGAGAAATCCGCGCGCAGCAACGAAGACCCGACACAGCCAAAGATATACATAAATAAATAAATAAATTTTTTTAAAGAAAGAGGAAAACTGGAGCAAGAAACTGGAGATAGCAAGTAAAAACCATTCTTTCAAGATGTTCTACTATAAAGGAAAGTAGAGAAATGGGAAAGTAGCTGGAGATCTAAGTAGGATGGAAAGAGTTCAAGATGAAAAAAACAAAACAGGTTTTTATGCTGATAGGAAAAGATCTAACAAAGGGGAAATTGAAGATGAGGAGCAAATGGGGAGAATTGCTAGAACAATATCCTTGAGTGGATAATCTAGGATGGGATCCAGGATACAGGGGTTTGCTTTAAAGCCAAAAGCGAGAGCATTTGACATTGTGTGTGTGTGTATTTCTAGTCACATGTAGCTACGCAGGAGCAGACATGGAATAAGTAGAGCTGAGTTTAATCAAAGCTGAGTTTTAATGAGTACGACAGAGGGAGAGAGAGTTAAGGAGTTGAGGGTGGATGCACTGGAGTGATGCATAGAATCTGACCTGGATAAGGAAAAAGAAAAGACATGAGAGGGTTGAGGTAGGAGGAAGAGAAAAAGTGACAGAATCAAGGCAGAGGCCAGTGCCTTTCCCAGGAGTCCGGAGTGGGGAGCAGAAGAATGGGGCCCAGGAGGTGTGCGTCGGTACTGTGGCCCTTCTCCCAGCAGCGTGGTCCACTTGGGGATGGGTTGGTTGGAGTGGCTTGAGTGTTTGGGGTTTTTTAATTGAGGTGAAATCCACTTAACCTAAAATGATCAATTTTTAAATGTGTAATTCAGTAGCGTTTATTAGAGGTCGTCCAGCCACCACCTCTGTCGAGTTCCAGAACATTTCAACCCCCCATTAAGCAGTCACTCCCCTCTCCCCTCCTCTCCTGGCACCCACTACTCTGCTTTCTATCCCCATGGATTTACCTGTTTTGGATATTTCATTAAAAAAGAATCATACAATCTGTGAAAAAAAAAAGTGACAGAATCAAAGACAGCAGATCCCTTTGGAAGCTGAAGTGAGCTAAAATATAAGAGGTGGGAGTTAGACAATGGAATGCTTCAGACTAAGAGCATAGAAGGAGTACAATTATTGGAAATGCAAGGTCTAAGGTACGACCAACAGAAGGGGAAATGATCCCTAGAAGGGAGGAGGTACCGGAACTGAGAGGCCAGCAAATTAGAAGAGCCGTGAATATAGACATTAAAATCACTAAGAATTATGTGAAGAGTAGTTCTGGGGACAGTGAAAGTGAGCCAGGGCTAAAATGTCAAAGGATTTCAAGGATAGCCCTGGGAGTCTAGATAGTTATCTAAAGATGCAGCAAGGAGGGGAAGCACACGCGATGAACCTGCGGGGAGAGAGCTCCTCTGGTGAGGCAGGGATAGCAGGCCACTGGGCTCAGTGCAGTGGAGCCAGGCTACGGCTTTATAGGTCTTGCTAATAAGTAGTTTGACTTTTATCTTTACTTATTGAAAGAAAATGTAAAGGAATAATGGTTAACCATTGTCGAATCCCAGATCAGACACCCTCATAGTCAAATATAAACACAGAAGAAAATTCTAAAACCCAATTTAAACTAGCCTCTGTAAAATGAAAGATTGGTTCTGAGTTCTTATTGTGGCTTCTCCCAGACCCAGCATTCTAAAATTCTATAGTCAGTTGCTTCTGTGGAGACTGCCTTACTTTATTTTCTTCAATGAACTGACGATTCGTTTTAAGTCATAAGTTCAAGGAAGATTATTTAGTCTAATCTTTTGATATATACTTGATCAGGCTGTACTCGCTTTGGTGGCAACACAAGGTGAATGTTTAGAGCTTCACTAATACTACTCTTATTCATATATGTTAAGACCGCACCTCAGAAACCACCATATTTGCAGAGTCTGACTCATTGGCCCCTAGAACTTTCCAGAGCTCAGACAGAACCTGCGGCAAGGCTTTTATAGGAGATACTAGTTAAAAGAAACGTTAGTCAGTTAAGATAATTTTAAAGAAACTTCAGGTTTAGATTTATTAGAATAATAGGAACAAAAGGTACAAGATTTTTAATCAATTTAAATAATGCTGTTATTTTTGCAGATTTTTAATGTTTTTTCTGCCCTTCCGCACCCCCTGCTAATTTGATGCGATGTAACACCTGCAAAAGTTAGAATTTACCTGACTAAGCCTGAAGTCTCCTTTGCATTAACCACTCAGCATTTTTTTTTCATTTTTCTGAATGGCCTACAATTTTTGTAAGAGCTGAATATTTTTCCCTGAAATCTGTCCACTGTTTGGAGGCATCTAGAGATGATTTCAGCTCAATTTGATAAATAATGTGTTTTAAAATCTGCTAATTTCTTCTAGAGTAAGTAAAGAAAGTGTTTTGTGTAGGTGGACATTCATCCCATTTCCTTTTTTATTTTACTTGTCTCTTTACCTCTGAGAAATGTTAAATGCCTTCCTCTATCTAATAGTACTTACCATACATCTGGGGTGACAGTGTCATTCTGGGATCTCCAAGCATGGGTGTCATAGATGGCTTCTCCATTGACTTTTAGCCAGGTCCCCATTTGCCTTAATCGCTCCTCAAAAATTGCAGAAATGGTGCCATCTTTTGTGGGCCCAATATTCATCAAAAGATTTCCTCCACATGAAACTGTTTCTACGAGTTGCTAAAAAATTAAGAATAAATATAGTTCTTAGAGAAAGAAAACAGTTCCATCCTGAATGTGTTACCATGTGGTATTCATGGACTTAGACATATATATATATATATATATATATATATAGTCACTATCTAGGAGAACACACATAGAAAAAAGAGTGATGTCCCGTGTTATAGACCATTGAGCTATACAATTTAGAAAAAGTAATTCTCATACACCTACACTATTCCAAGTGTTAACCATAATGGTCACCAGACATTTTACTGTACCTTCACCAATTCTTCAATTGTAAGATAGTCAGAGATTCCAGCATTCCTCCTATAGCCCCAGGAAAACTGGTCTATTGTCATGCAGTTTTCCCATTTATGTGGCAAAAGATGTCCTGGGTTATAACGATCACTGCAGGTATAGTAGCCACCGTGCTTACAGATGCTACCAGCTCCCCAACGGTCATTGGTGACCACTGTGTCCCGAACTGGGCTGAAATGAAAAGGATGATTTTTTTTTTTTAAACAAAAAGTAAAAAATGTTTACACAAAAGCAGTGTCACTGAAAAGAGGTCTGACTGAAATTCACTCGTGGAAAATAACCATAGTGGAATATAATACAAAGCCTACGGTTTTGAAGTCAAATAGACCTGGGGAGATTGTAGTCCTGGCCCGTCACTTTCTAAATTCCCTGTCCTACAGCAAGTTACCTAACAACTCTTCTGAATAATCAATTTCCTCATCTATTATTAGAACAGAACTAATTTATGTAAAACACATAGCCCAGTGCCCCGCACACAAAGCACTTGCACGAGTATTTTACTGTTATTTGAAGGCTCCCCTCCCTGCCCTCATGCTGTGAGCAGTCGCTAAAACTGAATTTACAGTCAAGACATTCTTCTCACCTATGACTGACTAATCTCCTACATTTATTCTAGCCTTTCTTTCTCTTACAATTGTGCCTAATATTGAAAAACCTCAGGAAAGTTGACCGTTATCATGGAATTCACTGTAGCATGAAATATCCCCGCTACGTTATTCATCGTAGCAGTTGGTACCTCCTGCACTTCTCCACTTAGAGGGGATCGTTTGGTTCACATATTGAAGTGGAGGGTTCCCCATATTTCCTTTTGGAAGGAGTACCTAGAGAAACTGCAGTTACATATCAAGAGCTCTCCAGAGTATCTGTATGTGTGCCCTTTGTGGGCCCAGAGAACACAAGCAGGACACTCCCTGACCTCCTAGCATGATACCAACTACTTTCTACTTACAAATATAAATTTGGTCCATACAGTGTAAGCCTTATAAAGGAGCTCAGTCAGAACTTCCTGTTCTAATGAGGTAGCTTGGAACATGCTAGAAAGCAAGAGGAGAGAGAACAGGAAGAGGTGAAATGCTGACGATGAGGGAAAAGAAGAGACAGACAAGGGTGACATTGCCTGAGCAGCAAAGATTATCAAATGTATGAGGATGAAAAGAAGCAATTAGAGGCATTGAAAAGCACATCATCAGAAACAGTGATGAATAAATAGAGTTGTCCCAGAATAGGAGATGAAAATGAGGACCCACAAAATTAATGTCTTCAAAGTTCTTGATCCTGTGACCTTTAGTCTGATTTCAAAATCAGACTATTGAGTTGTATTCGACTCCTGATTTGTAACTCTTGATTATTCTGAGTAAATATTGATATATCTAATGAGCATTATTTACAATGATTTCCTCCCCCATGTCACAAATGAGCCTGAAAGGACATATTTCAAGAAGCAAGGGAGTTAAAATGTTATACATGTATTAGGAATGCTTAAGGTCACAACAGCAATCTAATAACACACACACCTCTCATTGTACAACCATGCTAGGAAGACTGTGCTGTTCCAGTAGGTATCTGGGGCCCCTCCATCACCATCTGACCACAGGACCTCAGGCTGATACTGGTTCACTAACTCGTAGAGCTCGGGCAGCATCTTAGACAGTGGATATTGTTGTTTCTGGAATGAGCTGGATTCATCCTCAAGGAAGAGTGGATGAAACCATTCAAAAAGGGAATAGTACAGTCCAAAGCGCAGGTCAGTCCTGGTCCTAATGGCTCCTGCAAGTCCCTTGACAATGTCCCTCTTCGGCCCCTCATCTACAGCATTCCAGTTCCACGAACACTCTGAGCCCCACAAGGTGAAGCCTGGAACATTATATTAAAAAGCTTGTAAGCATATCAATTGTTTTAGTAAATTTCCACATATACAAACACCAAAACAAATTACATAGGGGGAATTCCCTGGCGGTCCAAAGGTTAGGACTCTGAGCTTTCACTGCCAAGGGCATGGGTTCGATCCCTGGTTGGGGAACTAAGATACCACGAGCTGCGCAGTGCAGCCAAAAAAAAAAACAAAAAGAAAGCTTTCAAATCACACAGGCAGTACACATAATATATAAATCACTGTTTCTACAAACAACTGCTTTATGGCAATTTTTTTCCATAGCATACATTTTGCTTTCATACAAGAAACAAATGAGAATTTAAACAAAGTAGAACTAAGATTTTTAAAAGCAACTCTCAGGGTTCCCCATAAAGTCTGTATAGTCTGATCTATCTCCTGTATTCTCCCTCTTAGACTATAAGCTCCTTGAGGGACAGCATCATGTCTGCAGTGTTCCCTGCTATATCCTCAGCCAATGGCTAGCACAGGGTCTAGCACAAAATCAGCAATCAACATTAGTGATCACAGCTAAGACAGGAACATCTTCCATATGTACCATGCTAAACAATGACTATTACTACTTACAGGGAAGATCCTGAGATGCACTCCTGCAAGATTCTTGTTTGTCTTCTAAACCAAAAATTATATTCCCTGGTTTAAGGATTATTTATTTTATTATAGTATGATTCTTAGAACACTGGTGTCCATGTATAGTAGTCAGTCTCCTTTACCCTCATTATTCCTTTTATCAAGGTGGGGGTGGGGTACTAGTCCCCAGTAGCTCTGTACTTTGCAATGTACCCACCATTTGTAATCTCATCCTACTCTAAAATCATAAGCTTGGATGTTGTGCTTTAAATTACCTAAAAGTGAATTACCTACCAACTAAATAGGTAAGAAGAATGTCTGCCTTTACATAAGTACTTTGAAATAATTCATATTTTAAAAGGAATTTGCATTTAGATTGCTGGTTGTTCTATATAAAAACCATAGAAGCCCTATATAAACTGAAATACTTAAGAAATAATTTAAAAAGCCTCAAAATGTTTAGTTGGCACCTAGGAACATAAATACATTGTTGCTGCCCCACTAAAATCTAAAAGAATCTTTGAGAACAGACATAAGTAAGGTGCTTTGGTGCAACACTTTGCTCTTGTAAATTAGGACAAGACTAAGATGGATGCACTCTGGATTCATTTTGAAGAAACTTTTAAAAGAGCTCACACTGGTTCTAAAGATGTTTGTGGTAAGCTTCAAAGCATTGCAGATGATATTTAATGTCTTATTCAAAATGTTTCAACTTGACAGACCCTAATGTCAGGCGGTGCTAAAACCACATGGGTATTCGGTTCAGTAGCACCACCAGAAGCTCACACAGTGGTCTTCCCGCCTAGCCAGGCTCAGCAGGGTCTCTCCCATAAGCATGGAAACTTCCAACAATATGAGTCCTAGAGAGTTGAGAAATGTGGGCTACATCATCTGTCCTCACAATGTGATTAAGATTGTTTTGTTTTGTTTTTAAATAAGCTCACTATGTAATACTTTGTGCCATACAGCTTGGAGAAGTTCCTAGGCATCAGGAAATCAACATGTTCACAAGCAAATACGCTTTATAAATATCCATCTCAGCCTGACAAACGTCTATAGGAGAAAATCATTAAGCCACTAGAATGTGGCCAATGGGAAAAATATTCTGAGATAATTCCTTATTTTGGGTTTTGGTTCTTCCCTTCTAATCCCCTACCCACCCCTGGGGAAAATAATGAGGCAAAATTTTTTATTCCAAGGCAAAGATGGTTATGCAAACAAATTGTCTAATTATTAACATGCTGTTGGAACAATAATAATTTGCTGATGCTTCCTTGATCTTATAGATACTGGAATGGTAATGGGTGGAATCTATCCTATTAGTGGAAGATCACTATGATGGTAATTTTATGTGTCAACGTGATTGGGCCACTGGGTGCCCAGATATTTGGTTAAACATCATTCGGGATATGTTCCTGAAGGTGTTTCTAGATGAAATTAACATTTGAATAGGTAGACTGAGTAAAGCAGATTGCCCTCCCCAAGTGGGTGGGCCTCATCTAATCCACTGAAGGCCTAAACAGAATAAGAGGCTGATTAAGAAAGAATTCTTTTCTCTGCATGTCTTTGAGCTGAGACATCAGTCTTCTCCTGCCTTTGCACTCAAACTTGGACAGGAACCTAAATCATCCGCTCTCCTGGTTCTCAGGCCTTTGGACTCAGACTGGAACAATACGACTGGCTCTCTTGGGTCTAGACTTCTCAGCCTCCATAGTTGCGTGAGTCAATTTCTTACGATAAACCTCTTTCTATATATTATACTGCCTATTAGTTCTGTTTCTCTGAAGAACCCTAATACAACCACTGTGTTTCCTTTACATATTCTTCCACCATCTCTGATATTTCTGGGCACCATTACAGCTCCATAATCCTGTTCCTTCCAGGTGACCTGCGTCATTTTCATCACTAGCAAACTGTCCTCAATTGGGCCATATAAGAGTTGGCCAAAAGCACAACCTTGTGTGTCAGTCATGATGCAAAACTGCAGCAAAATAATCCCCTGGGTACCTTCCCAGAATGCATTACAAAGGTGGAAAGAAAGGAAGAATGCAATTCCAAGTGTAAACTTTGACCTGCAACCCACGTCCCATTTCAAATAGCTTCAAATCAAATCTTGGGTTACTTGGAAATTGTTAAATATGCATATAACAAAATGTGATCAGTTTCCATTTTTTCTCTGTCATGTGGAGGGTATGATCTTTCTGCATACATAATGCTTCTTAACTGGGTGGAACACATGGTCTCTTAAGTTGCAAGCAAATGTCAATAGCCACTTATGATTGCTCCTAAGAGAAAACTCTGATTTCATGTGGATGACCTTGCTTTAGTTTCTTGTTCCAAAAGAACTACTTTACATTTCATAACCACTGTGAGTTTTTGCAAATGTTGTACTTACCTTCATGATGTTTGGAAGTTAAGACAACATATTTGGCACCAGAAGCCTGTAAAATATCTGCCCACTGGTTTGCATCAAAAAATTTTGCTGTAAATAGTGGTCCAAAATCTGCATATGTGAAATCAGGAGGGTAATTATTTTTCATAAAGTCCACATAACTTGGTAACTTTTCCTTTTGCCAATACCACCTAAGGGGATGAAGGAAACAGCATATAAGCAGCATTCACATAAACATCTGAAATATAGTTATACCTCAGTATCCATGGGGGATTAGCCCCAGGAGCCTCAGCAGATACCAAAATCTGTGGGTGCTCAAGTCCCTTATATAAAATGGCATACTATTGGGTTGGCCAAAAGTTCATTCGTTTTCTCCTGTAAGATGGCTCTAGTATCACTTGTCTTTAACTTCATTCAGAACAATTAGATTGTATTGTGACAGCTGTCATATCAGCGTGCATTAAAAAAAAAAAACATCAAAATTGGTGAATTTTTGTGTAGACATTTTAATATTAAAGATGGAAGAAAAAAAGCAACATTTTTGGTATATTATGCTTTATTATTTCAAGAAAGGTAAAAAAATGACTGAAACACAGAAAAAGATTTGTGCAGTGTATGGAGAAGGTGCTGTGACTGATCAAACATGTCAAAAGTGGTTTGCAAAGTTTCATGCTGGAGATTTCTCACTGGACGATGATCCACTCTCAGGTAGACCAGTTGAAGTTGATAGTGATCAAATCGAGACATTAATTGAGAACAGTCAACATTATACCAAGCAGGAGACAGCCGACATACTCAAAATATCCAAATCAAGTGTTGAAAATCATTTGCACTTGGTTATGTTCATCACTTTGATGTTTGGGGTCCACATAAGTTAAGCGAAAAAAACCTTCTTGACCATATTTCCGCATGCAATTCTCTACTTAAACATTAAGAAAATGTTCCGTTTTTAAAACAAATTGTGATGGCAATGAAAAGTGGACACTGTACAATAATGTGGAACGGAAGAGATCGTGGGGCAAGCGAAATGAGCCACCACCAACCACACCAAAGGCCAGTCTTCATCTGAAGAAGGTGATGTTGTGTATATGCTGGGATTGGAAGGGAGTCGTCTACTATGAGCTCCTTTCAGAACACCAAACGATTAATTCTAACAAGTACTGCTCCCAATTAGACCAACTGAAAGCAGCACTCCACGAAAAGCGTCTGGAATTAGTCAACACAAAACGCATAATCTTCCATCAGGATGACGCAAGACTACACGTTTCTTTAATGACAAGGCAAAAACTGTTATGGCTTGGCTGGGAAGTTCTGATTCATCCGCCATATTCACCAGACATTGCACCTTCAGATTTCCATTTATTTCAGTCTTTACAAAATTCTCTTAATGGAAAAAATTTCGATTCCCTGGAAGACTGTAAAAGGCACCTGGAACAGTTCTTTGCTCAAAAAGATAAAAAGTTTTGGGAAGATGGAATTATGAAGTTGCCTGAAAAATGGCAGAAGGTAGTGGAACAAAACAGTGAATATGTTGTTCAATAAAGTTCTTGGTAAAAATGAAAAATGTGTCTTTTATTTTTTACTTAAAAACTGAAGGAACTTTTTGGCCAACCCAATCAGCCAATACGGTCAGCCCTCCATATCCACAGTTTTGGCATCTGTGGATTCAAGCAACCATGGATGAAAATTTCCATCTGAGGTTGGTTGAATCCAGAGATGTGAAATCCTCGAATATAGAGGGCCAAGTGTATATTTATTGAAAAATATCCACATAAAAGTGGACCAAACCTGTGTCGTTCAAGGGTCACCTGTAACTGCCCCAGCTCCCTTTACTCAATCCCCCTTACTCACATATTACCAAGATTCTCTTCCTCACTTCCCCATTTAGTTTGACTTCACCTTAAAGAAAGCTTATGTAAACTTCCATAGTTTTCCATCTACCCCTCTGTGAACTCCACTCAGCTCATCAACCTGAACATTCTAGACAACACAGCCACCCATTTGCTCTTAATTCTTCACTTTTAAATTGCAACATGTAGTATCTTTACATAGTTAGTCCTTTGTAACATAAGTGATGAAGGCTTCAAAAGAAGACAAAGAACATAAAGCGTAACACAAATGTATTATATTCACTAGCAGAGAACAAGTGGGGGAGGAGATGACAGTAAAATTAAGAAGATGCTGTTATTTTAATATATTGACTCAGCCTTCAAGGATTACAGGTTATATGCATGGTTGCTGAGCAATGGGGCCTAAACTGCCTAAGCAAAGCTTCAGGAGGAAAACAACATCGAAAACATAATTTTTAGATAAACATGGCAGTAATATTATGCTCATGAAATAGATGCAGGCCCCATCTCTGACCCATCTTCTACTCTTCCTTCCACCACTCCTTTCATAAGAGTGTTTCTAAGGGATGAGTAAATCCATAATCAGCATTACATCCCCAAAGATGATCAGGAGGTTCATCCCACGGAGAAGCCTTCACTGAAGGACATAATATGTCACAGGCACTATTCTTTACCTGCCCAAGAGTCAGATACATACTTTCCCAGTTTCCATCACACCTACCACATGGACACCTGACCCATGCTGGCCAATGGAACTTGAGGGGAAGCCAACTTGGGAGATTCTGGGAATGGTTTCCTCTATAATAGAAAGAGATACAACTTGCCTTTGGACAAGGTTGTATGAAATGATGCCTGTCCACCATCATGTGACCATGACAGGACAAGTCAACAGGCTGAGGATGACAGAAAGCTTAGGTCTTTGATTTCATCAATGTGCCAACTACCTCTAAATTTCTCATTATGTAGAGTAACAAACCCCTATTGTTAAACCTTTTATTTAGGTTTTCTATACCTTGAAGTGAAAGTATCCTAACTGATCCATGATGCATTTTTACCTCTTAAATCGAACTACAAAAGAGAAACTGGGACAGTCAGAAAGTTAAAAGATAAGAGATTTCTATTTTTTCCTAACACATCTAATTTGAACCTGCATTCTCTATTATAGTCTAGAGTCACTTCTCAAATTTCATACTAATAGAGATGAGAAGAGGCACTTACAGTAAACAGCCCATAATTTATATTTGGTTTCAAACTGCCATTAAGGACAGTCAGATATACCCATCTCTACTGTTGACGGCTCCAGGTCAAATTGGGGTGGGGAGCAGAGATTTAGAGGGGACACAAAGGGAAACTATAGATAATTAAAGAATCTTCCACAGGGTTATTTCACTTCCAGACCATCAAAAATATACTCTGTTTTGTATGAGAATTATCTTTATTGTTCTAGGTCAAAACAAACAACTTTGTGTTCATTTGTAGAAAATAAAAAGTTAACCATTACAAAGAATAAGATGACTCAAAACTGGCTGTTTTGCACAGGGCACTAGTTTCAATTAACAAACATCAAATCCTCTCCCAGCACCAAATGTATATTTACCTAATCTTCCCAGTTGAACAAAATGGCAAATTAAAGTATAATTTATTATATCTTAAGAGGAAAAAATCTGTTAATTGATGTACCTTGCTAGTCTGAAACATTTCAAAACTAAACTCAAAATGCCTCACAGCACAAAACTTGCAAAGAAAGATTTATAACATCCTGAAGCAAATATATTTGGTAATACAAGTTATGGGAAGAAAGAGTCCCTTGGTTTTTAAGTGGACTTCAAAAGCGTATATGAATAGTACTCCATAGTTTATACAGTTCTTTTACATCAAATGGCCTAACTGAATAAGAAAAGTTACTGTTTGCAGAAAGTCAGTCTCTTTATAGAAAGTGGTACAATGTTTATAGTGTAACGTTAATACAATATATAGTTTATACTCTGTATTGTATCTGCCAACTAGAAATTGTTGCTTGCCATCTGCCTCTACAAGGATTTAAGTCACTAGCCACCATAGTCACTGACCTTCATCACACCCTGGAAGGAGTTCAGGGTGGAGATCAGGAATGAGGCACTCTGTGCTCTAGGAAACACTGGTAGAACAGCCCTTCAGATAATTAGATATTTTCAGGAGATTTTATGAGCCCAAATTCTTGCATCTTCTCATATCTAGAAAAGCACTAAAATCATAAGGGAGACATCTGCTCCTAGTGACTAGCAGTAACATTCTGCCGCCATCTGCCCTACAAGGATTTAAGTCACTAGCCACCATAGTCACTGACCTTCATCACACCCTGGAAGGAGTTCAGGGTGGAGATCAGGAATGAGGCACTCTGTGCTCTAGGAAACACTGGTAGAACAGCCCTTCAGATAATTAGATATTTTCAGGAGATTTTATGAGCCCAAATTCTTGCATCTTCTCATATCTAGAAAAGCACTAAAATCATAAGGGAGACATCTGCTCCTAGTGACTAGCAGTAACATTCTGCCAAAATGTATGCTTGATTGCACGTATCCGCCTTCGCCAGAGTCACATATATACTGTTCTCTGCCCCCAACCTCTTCAGAGCAGCTCCTCAGAGCTCTCTAAGAGGCTGTCTTCCAAGCTTCAGTCCTCATTTTGCCCCCAAAAAAACTTAATTCACAACTCTCACATAGGGCATTTTTTTTCAGTTGACGTATCTAACATATATTGTATATATTAAATTTGTTGTACACTATGTATATAGTATAAAGCAGGTTTAAATACTCATTGTTTATTTTCTTATTTCACTAGGAATATATTATATATGTATACTATATATATATATATATATAAAACATTTCTATCTTGAAGAACTTAAAATACCTGAGGTATTTAATCAGGAAAGTATGTGAGACACTTCAAAGTTGTAAGGGATTACATGCATATTTTTACATAGATCTCAAGGTAAAATCTAAAGAGCAATTTTTTGTGCAGCACTTTCCACATAGTGGTCTATTAATACTTGGGGTTCTTTAGGGTAAACATTCTAGAACTTTTTGTTTGTTTCTTGAGCCGCACGTGGTAACATTTTAACATTAAAGAGCCAGTGAATGCCCAAAGGAACAGAAGTCTCACATACCCATGAATTTATGTTTAAACCATATACTTCATGGCAGAACAACTAAAAATTGACAGGTAGCAGCAGAACAGCGATGGGACAAGGTGTCTGATTCTCTAAGGACAAGGACGGCAGTTTAGGCTCAAGCTTCACAATATGACCCCACACAGTCGATTACTTTTCTGCTCTTAGTCATTCGGTGGCTACAGAGTGATAACTACAACTTGATAAGTGCAGCTATCCAAGAAGCTGAGAAGCCAGAGCCACATCAGTTGTCTGACAACTCTTGCAGTCACACGGAAGAAAAATTCAGTGTTCCCCCAGCACGAAACACTTACACAGTAAATTATTCATTTAACACCCGGAAATGCTAAACACCGCTAAAACAGCGGGAGGTGAAACTGATTGGGGGCAAAACAAACCGGCATAGGCTGGGATCTGGGTCGTGGCTGGTGGCCAGTGGGGTGCAAAGCGGGGTCAGAGGAGACGGAGGGAGGTGCGCTCACCAGAACCATTCGCTCCCGAAACTGGGCACGGAGAACACGCCCCAGTGGATGAAGATGCCGAACTTGGCCTGGTCGAACCAGGCGGGCAGCTGGCGTGCATCCAGGGACTCCCAGGTGGGGTCGAAGCGCGCGGCGCCGCCAACTGCACCCGGCGGCGGCAGCAGCAGCAGCAGCAGCGAGAGTACGAGCCCAGGCAGCTTCGGGGACCTCATGGCCCCGCGCCCGCCGTCCTGCCCGCACGCCCGCGGCCTCCTGATCCCTCGTCCTTCCGGGTCCCTGGCTGAGTACGAGCCGCCAAGGTCACCTGACCAAGCTGTCCTAGGAGAAAGGCACCCTCCTCTCTGGGATGGGAGTGGCCGCGGTCCCGGCGCCGGAACAGAACGACCCCAGGAGGCCTGCATCGCTCACTTGCAAAACTAAGGACGCCAGTATTACCCCAAAGCCAGCCCTGAGGCTGCTCAGCTAAGCCTCTTAGTCAATCCGCTTGGCGGAGAAAAAAACGAGACTGGTTCAGGGACCTGTGGGAGCACCTCTCCCCTCAACCGGCAGGACCCTTCTAGAAACCGCCGGAGAAGACGCTAGAGACCAGCCAGGGTGGAACCGTGGACCTGGATCCCAAGGCAGGAACCTCAGCCGGGTCATCCAGTCCCTCCCTGGCCGGTGGCACCGAAAAACCCAGATCCTTCTCAGCCTCTGCATTTTACACCCCGCTTCCACGCCCCAGGGTCCTGGGTGTGTTTAGAACTGTGGCTGTCAACCTTGAGTCTGTATCAGGTGAAATTCCAGGAGTCTGCAGTGCAGGTTGGAGCCCCAGGATTTGCGTGTTTGCTGGTCTGAACATCAAACTTTGAAAACCACTGCAGTAGAAAACAAAGTGATCTAAGACAGGTGAAACTAGTGAAACGAATGTTTAAGAAATCTGCTGGTGGGACTTCCCTGGTGGCGCAGTGGTTAAGAATCTGCCTGCCAACAAGCCCTAGTCTGGGAAGATCCCACATGCCGGGGAGCAACTAAGCCTGTGTGCCACAACTACTGAGCCCGCATGCCACAACTACTGAGCCCACGCACCTAGAGCCCATGCTCTGCAGCGAGAAGCCACCGCAATGAAAAGCCACAATGAAGAGTAGCCCCTGCTCGCTGCAACTAGACAAAGCCCGCACACAGCAACAAAGACCCAACGCAGCCATAAATAAATAAATAAATGCTCCTTTAAAAAAAAATCTGCTGGCTTGGGAAAGAAGGCAGAAACTTGGAATGATTAATCAAGGTGAAACTGCACAGCTCAGATGGGCTTCAAACCCGGCCAAAGCTCAGATCGGGACTTGAACCTACTGTCTTTTAATTGAAATCGCACAGTAGGTTTCAGGACTTTCTGAAGCTCGGATTCTTTATGTCTCTGTGCAGAAGGAATTCAGCGAGAGGCAAAGTGATAGGTAAGAAGTTGTTTTATTTAGAGAGATACACATTCCATAGACAGAATGCGGCCCATTTTAAAAGGTGAGAGTGGCCCGGGGAGAAACACACTCCACAGGCAAAGTGTGGGCCATCTCAGAAGGTGAGAGGCTCTGGAATATGGGGTGGTTAGTTTTTATTGGCTGGGTAATTTCATAGGCTAATGAGTGGGAGGATTATTCCAACTGTTTTGGGGGAGGGGCAAGAATTTCCAGGAACTTGGCCACCGTCCACTTTTTGGCCTTTTATGGTCAGCCTCAGAACTGTCATGGTGCCTGTGGGTGTGTTATTTAGTATATGATAATGTATTACAATGAGTGTATAATGAGGTTCAAGGTCCACTGGAAGTCGAATCTTCCACCATCTTGGGCCCAACTGAGTCTAATCAGTTTTTGTCATATCCTCAAGGGCTATGTCATTTCTTTTAAAGGTTGTGCCCTGCCGCCTTCCCTCCTGTTTCAGAGGGAGGTCATCAGGAACTCATTGTCTTTTCCTCTTAAATGCTTTCAGAGTAAAGCCAGAATCCCCACCCCTTCTGCTCCCATAGAAAACTGCCTCTCATTTTACCATAGGCCAGTTCAAATGTCAGTGCCTCTGTGAAGCTTTCTGTCACCACCTTCCCTCCCAGACGTTTTACTCCCTCCTGTGTGTTCCCATTAATATCTCATTCCAATCACAAATGTAGCAGTCCATGGATTATCTTGTAGCTAGGATACATATCTCATTTCCCATTAGGCTGTGTGTGAGCATCCCAAGGACAGGAAGTGATCTGCCTTTCTGTAGTCCTGAATTTATGGCAGAGCCTGGCATGGAGCAGCACGTTTGTTGAAGTCCTTCAATGAATCAGGGTTCTAATTATTGAGTGTGTTCAAAAAACAAAATTCAGTGGAGTGAATTTGAGGATTGAATTGGCTTTATTCAACCACTCATAAAAGGGCAGCATCCTATCTAGCAAGTAGAAAGGCAATCCAAGGAGTTGTACAAAATAGAAGATTTTTATGGGCAAAAAGAGGGTGGGACAAGGAAGTTCAAAGAGTGGATTATTTCAGGTAAGGTCACCTTTCCTTAAGGGAATGCAGGCGGTCTAGGGCAGATTACCTCCCTAGTGTGGACCAGGAAGTTTCAGACTGACTGATATAAAATTCCACTCCTGGGAGAGGCTGAAACTACAATGAGTTAGGTATTAAGTCTTGGTGGAGTTTAGCACAAGTGACTCCATTTGGGACTGCTTGTTTCCTTTTAATAAGTATTATTAAAGTATTAAAGAAGGAAATGATGCTAAGTAGCTGTTGCCCTCATTCTCCTGTCTCTGCAAAGACATGCGAGTGGGAGCAGCCACTTGTCACCCCAGGTATAAGGACATTTACCCTCTCGATGCAGTGTCAATGGCTTCCCAGAACTACAGCTCTGCCATAAGGGCCCCCAGTCTTTCCAGGCTGTGGGTCTCCTGGAAGAGAGGGATCTGAGAATCCACTGAACATCATTACCTATCGCGGTAGCCCCAGTTAGTGATAAAGTGGGGTGACAATTTTTATGATCCAGTCTTTGATCCTAGAATGATCTAGTACCTCAGTGGCCCCTGAACCTCCAGGGCATATTTGAAAAAAAAAAAAAAATGGCCCTTTAGTCACTGTGCCTTGATGTCCCTTGAAACAGACAATTGTATAATAAGCATAAAAGACATTTTTCACAGTGACAATGAGACTGTGAACTCTCAGAGGGACAGTAGACATAGCCATGGTGAGAGGGCAGTAGTGGGGCCCTGTCTTCTCATCAAGCATCCTTTGCACATGTGAACCTCACCTTTTGAAAGTTTCCATCTTCCAAACCAATTTCTTTTATCATGTAATAAGTTATTTACATTTCCATGTATTTCAGTTAAAGAGTGCTAATCAGACCTTCTGATCTGCATAAATGCCACTGGGTCATTTATCATTTCACTTGAAGGCAAAGAACATTTTTACAACCTTATCATAAAAGTACAGTTTCTGTAGGATATACTGAAAACAGACGACACATAAGAATCCTAGAATGCCAGGTGGGGAATCGTTGATAAAGAATTTGGAATGAATAAGAAATAGATTTGTCTGGAAATGAAGAGATTTGTTCAAAATATACTTGTTAAATGACTAAAAGGATGAAATCTATGAAACATTTTAGAACACGGTCGCTGATGGAAAGCTGGCTCTTCCCACTTTATATGATAATGCTTTACAGAGCTGCAGTCTTCACACTTAAAGCTACTGCTAATTGAGCAATAGAACCACACCACCCTAAGGCTTAAACTATATAATTAAAGGTTTTGATAGAGGATCCAGATATCTGAGAAACAATAGATCTCCAAGTGTGCTTGGCTCATCTTGGGGAACCTTGGGCTCCAGTGGGCAACACCGTCAAGGAGCCCCGATCCCAGCCTATTTGTCTGAGGTCATCTGGAGGTGCCAGGTGAAGAAAATAGAAAGATAAAGTATTTGTCCCTTGCAACAACGGGTGGGCCTCAGTGTGGAGCCTCCAGGGCCGGCAGCCACACGCTGGGCAGCTGCAGTTACACGGGGTGCTTACCATGGTCACTGCTCCTGATCTCCCAGTGGGACAGGGCAGCCCAGCCAGGCTTGGTCAATTTCTGTTGCAGCCGGAGGATGCAGTCACGCTGTTGATGTCCTCCGGGATGTCGTGAGCTGCCGAGGGTGGAGCTGATATCTGAGTGAGGCTCTCAAGGACACATTCTGGATCTCCATATGGGAGTTGGATGGCTGCCACCAGCCAGTCTCAACAGTTCCCAGAATTCCGCTGAAGTGGACAATGGGAGGATGAAATGTTCACCTCACAGGCGACATCAGTATACAGCCGCCCTCTGGAAATGCAGAAGAAAAGTGTTCAAAACAAACCAAACCCATGCCGTTCTTTATATGGTAAGTAAACCAGCTTCAGGGTAGAGAGAGCATGTGACATGGGGAAATAAAATCCTGCCTTTTTCTGGCCTGGGGGGTGGGGAGTAGAAGGAGGAATGAAGGGAAGAGGCCAAGGGGCTCAGAGGAGGCAGGGGAGCAGCATAGCTCAGAGTCTGAGAGGACAGATTCTGCAACTGGGCCACCAGGATGCTCGTCCTGGCTCCACCCTCGACTCCAGGGCTCTGTGATCCTGAGGGAGTCATTCAACCTTCCTGTGCCTCAGTTTCCACACCTATTAGATGTGAATGATAATAGTACATCTTCCTCATAGGGTTCTGAGAATTAAACCACGCAAAGCACATATTAAGCTTCATCTAAGTACAGACTATTATTATTATATGTGTCAGATAAATAAGGGGTGACTAAGGGAAGGGGCATTTCTCTCCCGATTCCCACTTAGGACTTGAGAGGAAGCCTCTTAGGCTGACAGGCAAATTTAAGTAGATGGAGCCTTGTTAGACAGAAGGAGAGGCTGCTTGTAGATTTCCTGGGTGACCTTGATACTCCAGTGATACAGACAGGACCCAGAGGTAGCAGAGAACCTAACGGAATCTAGCTCCAGTGGTTCCCTGGGGCCTCTGTGCCAAGGATTTGGGGCTCACAGTCATATCTTAGAGGACTCCAGCATACCACTGAGAGCTGAGGTGGGCTGATAGAGACCAGATCATGAATTTTAGCAGCTGCAGGCTTCATCTGGGAACATCAACAGGACACATATTGGCACCCAAAGACCAGAAGGGGCAGGGATGCCATGTTTCTTCCCAGCCCCTGGAGAACAACAACTAAGCCTGCCACATTAGGGAGAAGCAGGGAATGAGAAGCATCTGAGATACTGAGCTTTTTTACCCAAAGGGTAGCCTAAAATATTTGCTAAAGAGGCTAATTTATGGGATTTATCTACCTGTAATCCAGATTGAACAATCAATTTTGCTCACCAATCAACTGGTGGGGGCTGGGGTCAGGGGGGGAATTGGGTGGTCTGCAAGGCAAGCAGGTTGACTACTAACAAAACAAAGGAGCCACATTTTCTCTGGATGAGAGTGGGTGGCCCAGGTAATTTT